GGGGGGTTAGCTGTTTCACTGATTTTTACATGTTACATTATTTTAGAAGACTATTTTAGATCGATGTTTTGTGAAATTGATAGTGTATTATCATAATTCTCTGCACAAAAAAGTATAACTTTTCGTCTCTGTGTACAGTCACGTCCAACAAAATTAAAATACTGTCAAATTTGTGGGAAGGAAACTTAACTTTAGATCTGAATTTTGTAACCTGAGTACTTCTTAATATTAAAACGCCTTACCGTATATCAGGAAATGGCAGACAATGCATTCATAAAGTTAGTTTAATCCGAAACTATTAGTTGCAGGAAGTGGAGGGCCTTTTCTCCTTCCTCTCCTTTTACCGTCCTTCAAAGACTTTTTCTCCTCCTTTTCTGAGGCTTTCCGCCTCTCTTCTTGTAGAAATAAGAAGGGAGACTGATTGGAAGCGACTTACCCCCCCCCGCCCAAACCCCCTTCGCTTCTCTACACTGCCGTGCAATGGTGACGGTATTGCGTTATTAAATTTTCATATTCAATCTTGACTTGCCATTACCCCTGGAGACTATGCTACAACCAACGCAACGGCCCACGGAAGCTAGAGAGGTGGTAAGGGGCACGTAAAATCCTCCACCGCCGTTTTCTCCCTTCTGCCCCCCCCCCCCCCCCCCCCCCCCCGTGTCGACTTCCATTCTACGAAATTGCTTCAGAAATTTTCAACGGGCTCCTTACCCAACTCCTCCCCAATCCCTTCACCCCTAATTACATTGTATGTATCGTTACTAACGGTGCTGTCTGATGTTGACTGACTCTGACGTTTAGCTCCAGAGTGTAAGGAAAACTTTATTTTTAGAAGGTCGGGTGGGGAGGGACGTTGTCGGGTCTCGTCTCTTACTAGTGTTTCAACAGGAAGTATTAATATTCAAATGAGTTGCGACACTCGGCAAATGTAATAGCTTTCGGCCCTGGAACCATTGGATTTCTGTACCCCTGCAAATAACGAAAAATGTGATTCAAGGTCACGTTAAAGGTCATCGAATTTAAACAGTAAATACGCTTCAAAATAAGTCAAAATTTCAGATTAAGGCCATTCTTCTATTTAATGATTTATCATCATTCCGTGATATTTTATTGTAACTTTCATTGTCATTGAAAGATGAATAATGGAATACCAGGGAGGCTGCTCTGAAATACCTTAATTGCGGGCCTCAGATCTGCATCTTTTATCTCTGGCTACAAGGGGAACCAGTTTGGTTGTCCTTTGTTTTCTACCTTAGTTTTTATTAGCATTTTTATTATTGTGCCCCGTTGATGAAATTTGAGGAGAATACTAGAAGCTCCTTTGTTATCGTTTGTTGATCTTTCAGTCCGAAGATGAGTCATCACCCTGATGATAGAGGCAGCAAGGACCTCTGAAACGTTGGTAACTGCATTTGGAGTGGAAATGATATCACTGTTGTTTTTATGTTACAGTCAAATGGAGAAACTGCGTCCATTTTTTAAAGACATCTGGTCTTGGTTTGTGCTTCAGGTGCTGAGCGATCTTCTCTGTCGGGAATCAATTCCTACCGAACCGGATCTGACACCGAGGAAGCCACGACGACTGACAACCCCACAACCCCGTTCCCCACTCCACCCCCTACGTGCGCCTCTCCGACCATGTACCACCATCCTCTCAGCAACAACCCTCTGCAGCACAGCCCAAACTTGTCTTCATCGGGCTGTGACCCCGGAGGTCATCGCCAGGCCTCACCTTACCCTCTGGAGTCGACAAACCTGTCGGGAAATTCGACCCCTGTCAACTCCACGAGCCCTCGCTTTCCGACGCACATGCCTTCGTCCTCGTCTGCGTCACGACATCACCACGGCGGTCACCACCATCATCACTACCCCGCCAAGAAATCATCGCTGAGCCGTAGCGACGGAAGTGTAGGCTCCAAGCAGTCAGCGAGTCAGCAGTACGGTCAGACATGCGGTTCTGGTACTCTCGGTAGCCGAGGGAGAGTTTCAGCCGGTAGCCGTAGGATTGCAGTCCAGCAACAGGGCGGAGCGACAATGACGTCATCATCTTCCACTTCCTCGGCGTCTTCAGGTACAGACAACAATTCTGACATGACCTACCCTGGCGTAGAGATGTTGAGCGCTGGCAAAGATGGAAGAAGGATTCATCTAGAAGACGGTGAGTTACGGATTGAAAGTCATTAATAATGTAATGTGTCTCAGATCCGTTCTGGTTCATGAAAACCATTAGTTATAGTGTATGTTGTGTTCATAATCGTATGTGGTAACCCGCTCACAAAGACATTATAACGAATTTATTTAAGTAATTTCACAATTAGTTTAAAAATTGCTCTCGATGTTTATTAGTCATTTGGACATGAACCTCATGTAAATAATATTTACACATTCAGCCCGTACCGCAAAGAAAACACAACACTTCACCGTTACAAAGGTCAATCTCGTAACTGTTCAGGGATATTATCGCTGTTTACTCTTGAGAATTTTACGGAATACATAAAAAAAAAATGCACGGTGTCTACGAAATGCAGTCATTTAAACGTTTAGTGGTATATTCCCGCCCTCACCATCTAATAAATTTCCCATGTATTTTTTTTTTCAATTTTTAAGTATTTATCCATCTCATTAACGTGGTCAACACAGACGAGAGGCTGAAATGCCCCGTTCATTATCAGTCATAGTTTTGGATCAGAATTTATCATGTGCACGTGATAACAGTGCTTTATTATATACGCCAAATGACTCACATCGCAAATATATTTTTCAAAAGCAGGATTTTTATTCTATCGAATGCAATTCGAATTTGTTTCTGTCCGTCTCAACTCTCATTTTTGGCCATGCCAGGAGACTTCGATTCTGAACGTGCTTTGAATCCGTGCGAAATTTTACAAAAAAAAAAAAAAACTTGAAATCTGGACGCTAGAAATAGGGCAGGTAACTAACTACCTGTGATGTTGCTGGCTGTTTCTATCCTCACGGTAAACAGACTGAGAGTGTTATTTATCCCTTGTGTATCTGTCGGTAGAATCAATTTGGCCTCTTAATCCACCCTTCTACCAGTACTACCCTTAATTGTAATTCTGTACGCATGACGTCCCATCAATCAATATCTTGAGGAAAGTTTTAGAGAGGGTAGAGTGATGGCGAAGAGTATAAAATCCCGTGTTTCATTTGATCGCCTGTGACATACCGGGGGCGGCCGATTGGCTGCGGGGATCCTAATGTGTTTTATGGGATGCAACAAGATTGATTGGTATGGTCAGAATCCGTGATTGGAGTTAGAAATTGTTATTTACGAACACACACTCACACACTCACTCCCCTCCTCCCGCCGGAAATAACTTTACTCCCATATCCGGTCTTGGTTTCCGTGTGATTTGAAAATGTCATTTTGAAACTTGAAGCCCTCCAGTCGTCATTATGATCCGACGTTTCCGTATTTCATATTAGAAGCATTTTAACGCGTCCTTTAACATTAAATTTGAGACGTACAACACAATACGTATTAATCGATGATAAATTTTAATATTTAAAGTAAAATTTGTGTCGTTCGTGTGAAGCTTGGGTTTGTACGTTACAGGTAGAACACAAATTGGAGGTGTTTGAGGACAAGGTCCTTAGGAGAATATTTTTACCAAAGAGAGGGTTCACGATCTGTACTCTTTATTAGATATTTGGATGTTTAGTCAAGGTGGATGGGGTAGGAGATGCATGTAGCGCGCATAGGGACGTGAGAAATGCTTACAAAATTTTGTTATAAAGCCAGAAGGGAGGAGACCACTCGGAAGACGTAGGCGAAGATGGGAGGATAATATTAAAATAAATGTTAGGGAAATGTAGTCGGAGGATTTGAATTGAATTCATATTGCTCAGGGTAGTGACGGTTTCTTACCAATAAGCTAAAAGAACTTTGGATTCTGCGTAATGTAGGGAATTTCTTGACTAGATTGTTAGGTCCCCGTGAAGAACTGTGGTACATGAATTTTGAAATTTTTGGTAATGAAAATTTGAAAATTAAAATTTGATGATATGGAATCCTTGCGTTGTCATAATATCTGGAAGGATTATGTTGGCCAATGAAAAGAAGCATGGTTTGCTAATAACTAAATATTCACGCTGCGAAACGTCGATTGTGTCACACATGTGATGATTGACTCTGTCCAATCAGCACCAACTTGTCACTTTAGCCTTTTGCCTGTAGCTGAATATTTTTTTACAGAGAGGAAAATAAATTTGGAGCGTAATGGCGCTGTGGACATTTTGTACCTCCAGTCCACGGAACTGGACGATATGTCGAGTGTCTTATGAAGACTGTTTTGTTATTATTCTACTTTATGTACTGTTTTTAGCACTTTTATTGTACCGTATGGAGGTTTTGTTTAATTTTTAAAGAGCAACGACGCTGTAAAAAGCTTTTTCCCTATGTTGGCGTCCGTATCATTTATTTATTCCTTTCGAATTCGTTCTTGTCACCTGAGTGAGGTCGCGTGTACGGGAGTGGTTTCTCGTTGTTGCTGAGGTTGGTTTTAGATCCAAATTAAATTTAACCTCGTCCCCGGGAAAACGCGTCTCTCACCTGCTTCGAAGGTTACGTTTTTATTTCCTAACGAGATCGCCGTAATTTCCAAACCAATAGCTCGGAAAATTAGCCAGGAGAACTTGAACTTCAAATATTATTGATGTTGTTTTTGTTTTTGTTGTCATCCATGTGTCATCACGTAAATTTCCTGTGATTCTTCAGGACCAAAGAGACATACACTGCCAGGAGCGTGGACAAAATTGCATAATTAAGGGCCCCTTAACAAGCTAGGGAGTAATTAAAATGCGTATAAAAATTTAGTAGCAGTATCCCGAAGAGGCGATCCTGTGACGTAAATGGGAGGATAATATTAAAATTGATCAAAATTAATTTTAATATTAGTCTGTAGATTCTATTTAATTGTCTTAGGATAATCCTGTCAGCACAATAATGAACCTAGGTTGTTTTTTTCCCTAACTGAGCGACTGCTAGCTTCTCAAAGGGATGATACTTCGTAGTGTGAGTTTGGATATTATACGTTAAGGCCGTAAGATAATTCAGCTTTGAAGACGGTAATATTAAGTTGAATAATAGCAGTGACGCATATGATTAGTTGCACAGACGTGTTTGTTTGTTAGATGCGTCGATAATTGCAGTTAGAATCCTACGACAATCGAGAATTTTTTTCTCGAGTTATGAAGTTATGAAATTACATTGAAGTTATGTATTACATGATATGAACTGGGGCAAAGGTGACCTTCGGAAAGCTTTTAGAGCGTACATGGGATTCATTGTTCCAATTTTTAATTAATATCACGTTCATTAAGAAAATATCAGCTATGGTACCTATAATCGATACCCAATTATCGAATGAAGATTTTTTTTGTGTACTTCATTGTTAGTTTTAATTTATTGTGTGTGCTAGTTATTAATTATTAAGCAATTTGAGCTAACACACAAATTTAAAGTGTGTTTCATGAAATAAACACCCCTCCCCCTTTCAGGAAAACAACTCTCAAATACCTACCCATTTACTATTGATGATTTTATTATCAGCTGTTGACATAAGCTTTCATCAGGTGATAGTGGACGAAATGCTGTGAAACAAAATTTGGTTCCTTTGCAAAGTGTTTATCAGTGTTTGAGACTACTTCATTCTGGAACACCCTGTCATTTATATATTAACTACGTATCGTTATGACATTGAACTAACGAATCGATTTACCAATAAATTAACGGACACATATGAAAACATGCGCTAATTCTGTCGTTATTTGAGTTCGCTCTACCTTTACTGCATTTTCCAATTTATTATTCAGTGAAATTATTTTGCTACATTTCAGAATGTGTGAAGCATAAATGTGCACGATTTATAGGTTGTGTTCATCTGTAGTGAGTCTGTTTACAGTATCCTCAACCAAGAAAAATGACGTGAATTTTTAGGCCTTGAACTTTTAAATTCAACTACGAAACCACAAGGCGAGAATACAATTTAAAAGAGTAGTGGAGATATTGTAAATAGCAAATGGCTTTCTAGATACTTTTGTTAGTATCTGCCATACTATGGGTGATTTAGACCAGTGGTATTCAACCTTTTGTTGTTCGCGTACCCCCAGATATAATTTCTTTTCAACTTTGTACCCCCAAAGCTGTTGATCTATAATTCAAGTTATACGTAGTATATAATCTACATCTAAAATAAATTAAATAAATTACATTACTGATTATTCAGTGTTTATCATTAAATAATGTTTTTTTAAATTTCACGTACCCCCTAAGATGTCTTCGCGTACCCCCAGATATAATTTCTCTTCAACTTTGTACCCCCAAAATTGTTGGTGTATAATTCAAGTTATACGTAGTATATAATCTACATCTAAAATCAATTAAATAAATTACATTACTGATTATTCAGTGTTTATCATAAAATAATGTGTTTTTTTTAAATTTCACGTACCCCCTGAGATGTCTTCGCGTACCCCCGGTTGAAGACCACTGATTTAGACAGTAAGGTCCTTCGAAACGTTGGTCATTATCTACCAGACTACACAGCGTAACATCCCAGATACATTTTTCGAAGAAGATACACGCGTATTTTGATGTCTATATATCATTGTGCGTGCGCATTTACGTATGTACGAATTTATCTTACTAATTTACCGACAGCAAGTTTTAATACAATTTCCTCAGCCTTACCTTAACAATTAGGCTCGTCGTTCTGTCCGGCTTCGTCGTGAAAGTCCCCCTCTGCTGCGTTGAGTGACGAACAAGTCTAGTTGCTACGCGAAACGAGCTGAGTAAAGTCTTTAGGTCACCTGCCCCGAGAAACGTCTTCCTCTCTTTAGCTGCCCAGTCACGTCCACCCATTGCGGGTTACATTTTGCCTTCTACCTGCCAGCCATCTGGAGACGCCAAGACTTTCCTGACGTCGTCGTCTGGATCATAGGAACACTCGGCCGACGCTCGCCACGTCGGACCTGTCCCCCAAGGAAGGATTCTAATGATATTTTACATTAACCATTTAAAGCCAGATGGTAACTGTTCATACCACCTGCTTTTATAATCAGTAACTCGTATGGGTTTAGTATGTTTCTCAATGCGAACAGAAGATTATTTCACTACGACATTAACAAAATTATCTT